TTGACTACCGCCATCCTGAGTCTAGAACAAGCACTGTTCATGCCTAAGTCGCTTAGTGATATCTCTTTTAAGCAAAACCGTTTACATCTCCTCTGCCTCTGTAGAGCTCCAGACTCCTCCTACCTTCGGTCTGCACTGGGGAGGATTTGCTGGAGTGCTCTATCCTACGTGCATTGTTAAAATCCCCAGCAAAATACAACTTGGTAGTATTCAAATATCAGCATGTTTAAGAAATGTGGTGGCGCACGCCTTTAATCCCAGCACTCAGGAGGCAGAGGCAGACGGATCTCTGTGAGTTCGAGACCAGCCTGGTCTACAAGAGCTAGTTCCAGGACAGGCTCCAAAACCACAGAGAAACCCTGTCTCAAAAAACCACAAAAAAAAAAAATCATTCCCCAAACACAGAAAATTTCAGGTTTTTTATAAATAACATTATTATATGGGAACACATTCATGGCGTATAATTATGTTTGTGAACAGCGGTTGAGCTAAGATCTTATTATGATGTCGCCACTCCGGCAGATAACATACATTAAATTGTGTGTTGGTAATGAGACAGAGTTAACGTCGCTTTGATTGCACCTTTCAGACTTTCTCCGATGCTGTTTTAAAGTTGAACATGTACAGTTATTAAGAAACATGGTACGATCTTGTAAAAACACATCACTAGCCAGGGTTTGTTTCTACGCTGCCTTTCTTCTCATACCCATAGGAACATACAGCCCTCCGGCACCACTGAGAGGGTCCCCGTCCCCCACCCCCACCAGGTGAGGAGTCACTGAGCACAGCCAAACTGGCACCCAGGTGAAGATGAGACAAAGCCTGTGGCTTCCTGTCAGGTTGAAATCACAGACAGGCCTCAGAAGAGCGCACCCGAGGCTGGAGAGACAGTTAAGAGCATTGGCTGCTTTTACAGAGGGCCCCAGGTTCAATTGCCAGCACCCACATGATAGCTTACAACTGTCTGTCACTCCAGTTCCAGGGACTCGACGCCTTTACACCAATGCACAGACATACATGCAGGCAAAACACCAACACACATAAAATAGAGTTAGTTAGTTAGTTAGTTAGTTAGTTAGTTAGTTAGTTAGTTTAAAAAACAAACAGCAACAACAAAAAAGAGAGCATCTAACTCCGACCAAGAGCCTGGGGCTCCTCAGTCTACACTATGGGAGAAGGAGACTTTTCAGGAACACATGGGTAGTATGTAGTTGGGAATCAGGATGAGCAGCCTCCTGTAAACCAGTCCGAAGAGGCCCCTCCCATAAGGAGGTCCTGCTGTTAGAACTGGATGACGTTGAGTCATCCTTCTGTCCCTTGTACCCAGGCTGTTATGTGCTCTGGCTTTTTTCACTTTGCAGCCATCTCTTACCCGATGGAGAAGATCATTGTATATTGGATTCAGAGTATGTTTAGGGGTTTGGGCAGCCACCAAGAGACTGTCAGCCAAAATGATCCAAATGACTTGATTATTATGTGGGCTTGTTATAAACTGATATTGAGGCTGGGAAGAGGGCTCCATGGCAAGATGCTGATTCTGAATTTGATCCCTAGGACATACAATCTCCCTGGTACATGCGTGTAATCCCAACATGGAGACAGCAGAGGCGGAAGGTTCCCCAAGGCTGGCTGACTGGCCAGGTAGTCTAGATGAATGTTGAGTTCTTAATTCAGTGAGAGAGACACTGTCTCAAGCAACAAGGGGGGCAGCAGTAAAGGGAGGCCAACTTTAGGCCTCCACATGCTCACACCTGTGCCCGAACATCTGCACACACTCACACTTGGACATATACACACTCATATAACACACCACACACACAAATGTCATCCTTAGTTCTGCAGAACCCCTGTCATGATACCCAGCCAAATGGAATACTTTCTCCCAAGGGAAGTACAAAAAAAAACCTTTTTTCAGTTTCTCTTGCCATAACTTCAGGTACTTGAAGTCTGCCTCAGAAAACACTGAATGAAAATAACTAAATAAATTCCAGAAAGAGCCCATGAGTTTTGGGGGCATGACGAGATTCCCCCACAGTCCCACAGGGTTCCACTGTATCACACTGGGGATGAGAATTACCCTTTTGTCTCCAATGCGCACACTGTATGCGTCACCTGCATGAGAGGCACTTGGGAGACTTCTTAGTCATCAAATCAGAAGACGTGGCCTGCAATGGGTTTCGCCATCCATTGGGACCCATGGGCCGTACCTCTGCAGGTAAAGAGGGACAGCTCTAGCACGGTAACCTCAGTAGACACCTGTGGGCCCCTTTGTCCCGCTGCCTTCTTGGGCTCCACCCCCCACCCCCACCCCCAGCTTGTGTTTTCAGAAGCAAGTTGCAGTAGGTTGATGTATCCCTGCAGCCGCTACAAGAGCAGGTGAGGGCTGCAAATGGGGAACAGATAGAATAGCCAAAATGTGATTTTAATGGCTCTTAATGCTCATGTATAATACAGTGATGGTTACCGAGTGCACATTAAAAAATAAATGCCCATACTTTTCTCATCAAGTGTCATTTAAATCTCATTAGATAGATCTTGGTGAAATGACACTGGCAATAGGACTCCCTTCTAATTCTCCCGCATTTTGGCCACTGCAAAGGCCCTGGGGAAAACAGCATCTGTCTGACAGGGGTTAGAAGGGACTGTGGGTGAGCCCCTTCCCAACTCAGCTGAACAGTCAAAATGAAATTTGATGGCGGTAATTATACAAGATCGTTTTGTGGCTGGTTGCTACGTTCCTTTTACTCTTCAATTGAGATGTCAAGATACTAGGCCAGCAGCCATTATCCCCTTCAGTGAATATCTTAATATTCACTTTGCCTGTTAAGGTGCCCCGATAGTGTGTGTGTGTGTGTGTGTGTGTGTGTGTGTGTGTGTGTGTTTGTGTGTGTATGTGTTGTGTCCTCTGGATGGATTGATTTCTATTGTTCTCTCTCTCTCTCTCTCTCTCTCTCTCTCTCTCTCTCTCTCTCGATGGTGACAAACACCTGAAAAAAGGAATTTGAAGGGAACCATTTTACTTAATCTTATGCAGAATGCAAAAGGAGGGTTGCGTTTGATAGGCATTTAGGAAATAGAAAGACATCAAGTATGGCGGTGGTCTGAAGAGCCACTCACCATGGTTTGGTGAGTGGCATTTTCCAATTTACTATTATTTACTCCTCGCAATTTGTGATTTGAGTCTGAAACCTAAAAACTTGGTACAAGCGGTTTTAAAAAATTAGCCTATTTGAATGACTGACTTAGACAGGTTGTGGCCGAGTTTTGATTATTTGTGTTTGTGTGTTCATTCTCCGTGTTTCTGTTGAAGGGAGATGAAGCCGTCTGGAGAGACTGCATGTAGGATTGTTCTGCCTAGCCTCGATCCCATACCCCCGCCTGGCCACAGTTCTCCTTCCAGCGGCCCTAGTTGCCTCAAATCTTGTCATCGTTTTTGTTCCAGGGGTTTAATGTCCTTTGGTGCCCTGAATTCCCCCTTCCCTCTGGGTTTCCGTCTGCTCTACAGCACCTGACCTCTAGGTCTCTTCATGTCATTTCCTGGCTCTCTGGGATTTTCTTGCTAAAAACTACGTTTTGATCATAGTAGAAACAAAAATAAAACAGCAAAATGCATAATTGGTGTGATTCACTAGAAAATGCAGGACTCTGCGATTCCATAACTGAGCTTCACACAGGTCTGGAAATCGGCTGTTTTCTCGCTCCGCCCTCTTTATCATCCTGAAGCAGGCAGCAAAGGTGCAGCTTGAAACTCGACGTGAAGATGAAATCCATGCTGGTCAGAATTGGCAGAACCCCCCCCCCCCCCCATTGCTACAAAAACCAGAACTTGGAAGTTTTCTATTGCTTCCCTGAAGGTTTTGCTTCTGTGCATCTTTTGAGGCTAAAATCTGCTTTGATTTGTTTTAACATACCCTAAATGGCTTCGTCACATCAAAGGTGCTAGACAGCTGCTGAGATATTATTTAAAGGGCACAGTCTCAGGCCTATGGCCCATGTTCATGTAGATTGTTTTTCTGTGTAAACGATTCAAGAAAGGCCTTTACTAGTAGTTTTGACTACAGAGGAAAACAAGCACCCGGGGAAACGGAAATGCGTTGACTGAGCATCCAGCAGCTGAGGAGAGCTTTGGCCAGGACATTTCCCTAGGCTTTTTACGTCTATTTGGAGAAACTGAACTCTTGACAGATGAACTTCTTTTCCCTGGGCTGATGTTTATCTAACAGCATGGTGGTTGTGAAATAATCCAGAATCCACAAGGTCAGAGAATGGCCTGCTTTACCCGGTCGCTCCTCCCAGCTCCGTCCACAGATTCCCTCAGGGAGGTTGCTTGCATGGGCAGCTGGTCGATCCACCCCACAAACTGTCACCCAAAGGACCAACCAGTTTCTTGGGTGTGGCCCCCTCAGTTCTGGCAACTCCATGGGACTTGGGTCTCACTATCCTTTTCCCCTCTCTACTCTTGAGTTAGAAGTCATTCCAACAGGCTTGACCAATGAACATTCTCAGGCGATATATTGGGAATTAAAACCCTCGGTGAAACTGGATTTTTGTAATGCCTTCATTCGTGAGAAAATAGACTGGCGGTTGTGTTTTTTTGTTTTTTTTATCTTGGGTGAAAGAGTAAAGCAAGGTTGAATAAATAACCTCTGGCTTATCTTGGAAGGTTTAAAAGGTCCATTAAAAAGAGGATTGCGATTATAATAAGTCTTTCTTCTCTTCCCTCATCACCTAGTTCTTTGGTGCGTAAACAAGGCGTTTTTCCCTTTGTGCTCTGCCTTCTGTGGTTGGTTCTCATTCCGTGAACTATGGCTCCACAGGGGAGATAATCCAAGCAGACATAGGGAGAGCCTTGAGTGGCCCTGACACTCTGTATGTCCTCCCTTCTGGGTACACACGACTACGCAGGAGCAGCTTGCTTCGTAATGGCCCTCACAGAGCACACCAGCAGAACCGGAGTGTGACTGTCAGACTCACAATGTTCTTTCTCTTGTATGTTTCAGAAATCGAAGCGAAGGAAGCATGTGACTGGCTGAGAGCTGCTGGGTTCCCGCAGTACGCTCAGCTGTATGAAGGTACGTCCTTCTTTAAACTCAGGACAAACCATGTGGACCCTGCCTTCTGCTTTCTGGGTCGTTGCTCTAATGCGTTGTGGCTTTGCTCCCTTTTCTCTCGGCCTTGGCAATAGTAAGCTCATCTGGACACATCTGGAAATGAGAGCCCTCCCGTTCCCACCCCACTTCCTGCTTCCCCCTGCAGATTCCCACCCAGCTCCACACTTTCTTTCCAGTGTCTGCCCCGACTCACTTTGCAGACTAACATGCTCTTCCTTGTTTTAACTTCATTGTGTTCAGTTTTCTTGAACTTGCAATGAATGTGTTGTTAGTAAGTTTCCTAGATGTCTAAGTTATCTAGTTGTTTGGGGATAGCCTTTGCTTATGCCTATGTTATTTTTAAAAAAAAATGTTATGGACCAGACGTCAGTCTTCTGAGTTTTGGATAAGTGGCTTTTCTTGCCAGCGTTATACTTCTGGTTCTTGATTCTTTAATTACTAATTAACAAATTTGCTGTCTTAGTTACTTTTCTATTGCTGTGATAAAACAGCATGACCAAGGCAAATTAGAGAAGAAAAAAGTTTATTTGGGGCTTACAGTTCCAGAGGGTTAGAGTCCATAACCATCATGGTGGGGAGCATGGCCGCAGGCAGGCAGGCATGGTGCTGGGGCAGAAGCTGAGAGCTTGCATCTGATCCACAAGCAAGAGACAGAAAGGGTAAATACTGGGGATGACATGGGTTTTTGAAATCTCAAAGCCCACCCCTAGTGACACCCCTCCTCCAACAAAGCCATGCCTCCCAATCCTTCGCCAAACTGTTCTACCAACTAGGGATCAAGCACTGAAACATAACGAGCCCATAGGGATGTTCTTCTTCAGCCACAATTTTCACTTCTCTCTACCTTACTGATATCTAAGACCATCATCAAATCTTCCATGTTTTATACATGGTCCTTACACATCAGGAAGGAGTCAGGTCCCAGCAGTGGGCAGGTGGCACACGAGATTAGCTGTGGAGAATTATAGCTAGTGGTATTTATTGCAAAGCTGTAGATAAGACATGCACAAAGAAGGAGCGGAGGGTTTATAGTTAATGGGGCTGCCACTCCCACAGGGGGATGATGCCAGGGCCCAGGAAAGAAGGAGCCCATACATATCTCTGGAGGGAACAAACACACAGCTGGCCATGGGCAAAGCCAGGGGTTGCCTCCTTGTGTTTCATACATGGCTTCACATTGGCCAAACACACAAGGAAAGCGGATAGCACGAGTCTCTTTGGACACCGTCCACTCTCCAGGGGTTGTCAAAGCATAACGCCAAAATAGGAGGCAGCGGAGTGGGCCTGAGGGCTCAGGAGAGGGTGCCTAGCATAGGAAAAATATGCAGCTTCTCTTCCCAATGGCACAAACATTGTGTAGGATGGGAAGAGTCAGCGAGATTAATCTTTCCTTATAGATGACTCCTGTCCTTTCATCAAAAATCTCAATTTTATATTAAAAACCAAAAGGTTTTTTTTTTTGCTACTTTGTTCATATAAATTCTGTGAGGACAAAGGAAAGTTAGCATTGGAATGTAGTTTGAAGCTCAGAATCTCTGATTAAAAAGAGTTTCATAGGGTCATACAGAGCCTTTTAGACGAAAGGAAAGAAAGAGAGAAGGGGGAGACAGAGGGAGGAAGAGAGGGAGAGAGAGAGAGAGAGAGAGAGAGAGAGAGAAGATTCCTATAGTTTAAGTCTACGTTATTCTCGACTCCTACTCTACCTGCAATTTACTAACTAGGAGGGAAGAGCCCAGAATGCTAAGTGACTCTGTCCTAGTTAGGGTTTCTGTTGTGACAAACACCGTGACCGAAATAAAGAGGAAAGGGTTTATTTCGTGTTATAACTCTCGGGTCACACTCCATCACTGAGGGAAGTCAGGCCAGGAGCTCAGGGCAGGAACCTGCAATCAGGAGCCCATGCAGAGGCCATGGAGGGGAGCCGCTTACTGACCTGCTTATCATGGCTTGCTCAGCCTGCTTTCTTATAGATCCCAGGACCACCAGCCCAGGGGTGGCACCACCCACAGTGAGTGAGGCTCTCCTCCATCAATCACTAGTCAAGATAATACCCCACAGATTTGCCTGCAGGCCAAGACAATGGAGGAATGTTTCCAATTAAGATGCCCTCTTCCCAAACATGTCTAGGTTTGTGTCAAAAGAAAAATAACAGCAACAGGCAGCTCACTGTCCTGAAGTGGAAGGAGGAAATGAAAAAATGCCAACCCTTTGATTCTTGAATATACACATATAAATATATACACGATAATGCATATGCTACCGCTACTGTGAGACTTTAATGTAAGCAGTCCATAACTCTCTAAGATGCGCTATTAGCTCACAAACATGCGCATGCTAGATTGTGTCTCATCCATAAATGTTGCATAAACACAGTAAGAACAGAGTTTTTCCTGTGCCCATTATTATTCAAAAACCAATGCTCATATCCCAGCACTCGGGAGGCAGAGGCAGGCGGATCTCTGGGAGTTCGAGGCCAGCCTGGTCCACAAGAGCTAGTTCCGGGACAGGCACCAAAAGCTACAGAGAAACCCTGTCTCGAAAAACAAAAAACAAACAAACAAACAAAAGCCAATGCTCATACCTCCGCCATAAAGTGGCCATCATGACTGTGATACTGTACAGTTGAGGAAAAGTTATTTGCCCAGAGTAACATACCCAAAAGTAATCAGGGCTTAAAGCTGGAGTCCCTGGGCTCCTGTGTTTGTGCTTCTCACTGGGACGTACACTCACTTGCCAGGAGGGTGAGGTGGTATCCATTTGGGGACCAGAAAGAATTCAGTCACCATGAAATTCTTTGAGTTCAACTAACTTGATTGGCTTTTTTTTTTTTAATAAAACCAAATTTTTATGTCTTCAAATTGGAATTTGATTTGCTGGGCCAAATAAAAATGTCAGCAAACTGATAATGTTTAAATCTTTACTGTGTGGCCCTTGCTCTAAAGAGGCAAATATGTGTCTCCAGAATGGGGGAAGTATCTGCTTCCAACATGGAGGAAGGTTTAGAAACATTAGCTTTATTGTAACTTGGAAGGTATGGAAAGTGTAAAATAGAAAGGCAGGACAGTCACAGTGAACTGACATGAAAGGTGACCTTGCCTGTTATGCCAAGTGACATCCAGAGGTTTTCCTCTGTAAACGAGGCTCCTAAAATTAAAGCCATATTCTGATAGTCACAGTAGCCCTCCCAGTTGGCATGAGTCCTCTTTTGAGGAAAAGTCATGGGTTTGGCATCAGTGGGGAACTTCAAGATGACTGGAAATTTTGCTATCAAAAAAGAGGGAGGGGGGAGAAGGAGGGGAGGGAGGAGAGGAGGGAGAGAAGAAGAAAGGAAGGAAGGAAGGAAAAGAAAACCTGAGACCATTGAACTTGGGGTATTTTGGGAAATGTCCTTTGTGAAGGAAAAAAAATCTATCAAACTGAGAATTCTATGAAACTGTCGGCCTGTGGGCTGTGCTGTGGTGAATGGGAAGAACCCTGGCACTCTTCCCCACCCCACCTGAGCCTCTGATAAGCAGGGACACTAAGGGCACTCAGCATTTAATCTTGTCCAAGGTCGGGCGCTTGTTTTCGTGTTTCGCACTTAAGCTGTACTCTCAAAAGCATTTTCTGTGATAAAAATAAAATCGTGTGCTATTTTTAAAGGCCATCAGCAACAGTAATAAGCTGGAACTGTGGTTAAGATCGGGGATTTGTGTGGACGTGATGGGCCGAGTACAGTGGCCTGCAATCCCCTACGGCAAAGGACATAACCTCTGTCTCCCCTTTCCCTCCTAGATTCCCAGTTCCCCATCAACATTGTGGCTGTCCAAAAAGACCATGATTTTCTTGAAAGGGACCTTGTAGAGCCTCTTTGCAGGTAAGCCAGATGAGGGAAGTAGCTTTGATGTTTGTTTCTTTCCTAGATAGACCTCCATTCAGTAAACATTTCCTCTGTGACCACTGTCTTCAGACATTAGGTCCTGGTACCCTGAGCATGCTCAGTTCCTGTTTGTGTAGAATTTAAATCCTAACAGGGGGCTTTAGACATTAGGTTAGAAAAAAGAGAGGGGAAAGGGAGGAGAGGGAAGAACAGAAGGGGAAAGAAAAGAAAGAAGGGCTTGGATGTTTCAGAGTGTGTTAAATGCCATTTCCAAAATGCAAATAAGGATAAGGGTAGGGAAGAGGCGGCACAGATGAGGCGGGGTGGGGAGGAGGAATCAGCCAGTCAACCGTCACAAGCCCTGTTGGGGCAGAGGCTGAGACTTCACCCTTTGAGTATGTTCAACTTGACCTGTTTGTTTTACATATATAAAGTCAAGTGGCTATAGCTTCGAGTCAGAACATGTAAAGCCGAGTAAACACAGTGGCAGAGTGACATATTTAAATCTTTGTTATGTGACGAAGAGCCCAAGACGTCTACGTGAAGAATCTCCCACCAAACACCTCACAGAGTGGTGGGAGAAGCCCAGGTGAAGCGAGCCAAAGAACAAATACAGAACCGTTGAACTTGGGTTAATAATTTTGAAAAGCCAATGGAATCTATATTTGTAGACAATTAAATTCCACATGAAAAGTCAACCATGTCTGAAGAACTTGTGGTTTCCTGGACAACACTCTGGAAAGAGTCAGAGCTGGGGTAGGTGTCGGTTGCAGGACACTGTCCCTTTTCAGGAAACAGAGGACTTGGAGATTCTGTGCTCGTGACCCTCAGCCCACTGCATTTGATAAATATGACTATTTAAGGGGAGGCCAATGGTAAGCAGAGCATAAATGATCTTAGGCTGCCAGATCTCCAATATCTGTTTTTGTGTTCAGAGCTGCTCATTCCCTGTTTCCTATATGACGAAAAAGTAGATTTGTAGCCAGGCGATGGTGGTGCACGCCTTTAATCCCAGCACTTGGGAGGCAGAGGCAGGCGGATCTCTGTGAGTTCGAGACCAGCCCGGTCTACAGAGCTAGTTCCAGGACAGGCTCCAAAGCCACAGAGAAACTGTCTCAAAAAACAAAAAAAAAAAAAAAGTAGATTTGTGTTCACCAGGACAATCCTGTGTATCTGCTTAAGTTTGATGTATCAATCCTGTTGGCTAAAAGAGAAAAGAACTCTTTGATTCATAAACTTGAGAGCTGGCTGGCTCAATAGGTTAAATACGCTTGCAGCCAAGCATAACTACCTGGGTTCGATTCCTGGGACCCACATGGTTGGAGAAGAGAACTGCCTCCCAAAAGTTGTCTCCTGATATCCATACATGCACTGTGGCATGAGTACACCCACCTACACACACACACACACACATACACACACACACACAGTAAAATCATAGATTTGAACGGGAGGCTATCTAGGCTAGAAAACAAGTAAGCGCAGTGACCTGCCTTTGTGAGAGCCTGTGGGGTAATCGGAAGATTTCCTCGTGGTTCTTCCAAGGCTTTGACCTGGAAGAGCAGCCTTTCCTCCTCGCCTCCCAGAAGGCACACCTGCGGCAAGAACAGATCCTTCTGAAGGCCGCTCATTCCACACAGTCCAATCCAATTAGTACCTCAGGCTGTTTTTCCTCTTGGTGTTGAGGACGTTCCTGTTGGCTGGCATTTCAAAAAAAAAATCCTATTTTTAAAATTATATTTTACCATTAAGTCTTCTAAATTTGTTTTCTGTAAAATGACTTATTTGCAGCATTGTATTTATACATGTGTATACACAGATGTATATATTAAAAATGGACTAGTACTAGTATCTAATCAAGGTTTGGAAAAGTTTCAACCGCTGCTCCTGAAGCTCCCACTTCCTCTCTGTCCTCCATGTCCACGCTACTATCAAACCTTGGTGACTACAGATTGGTTTTCTGTGCCTACAGTTTTGGTTCCATCCAGGCATCACAGATATGGCATGGAACAGAAATGACTGTTTTGCCTGGCTCCCTTCCCTTGGTGCAATGTTCTTAAGATTAATTCGTGTTACTTTCCGTTTCAAAAATGTATGCCTTTCCATTGTACGAGCAAACTTCCGGGATCCCAATGTGAGGCTATAAAGACATTTCAACATGGATATATGTAGTTTGGTTTGAGCATAAAATTATGTTTCTTTTCACTAAAATCTTAAGAATGAGGCGCCGGGGGGGGGGTGCTCATGACAAAGAGGCAGTAACCATCTCAAGTGGCCCTGTTGTTTTGTGTTCCCAGCAACATATGAGGGCTCCAGCTATTATATGTCCCTTTGTTAGTATGTTTTTGTTTTGTTCATGCACATTTTAACAGGTGTCTGGCAATTATTGCATTGTGACTTTCCATGTGCATTTTCTTAGCGACCAATAAAACTAGACATCTTTCCATGTCACACAACTGATCGTCTCCTGCAAAATATCTTTTTGATCTTTTTCTCATTTTTTAATCGAATACGTTTATTGTTGCACTTGGAGGATGCCGCTGCTGTTATTAATCCCTCGTTCCTCAGACAATGCATTCTTTAAATGTTTTCTGCCAGCCTGTATATCCTCTTTCCAATGTCACACAAGCAGGGCTCTTTTTTTTCTTTTCTAGCCAAATTTGTTTACTTTGTCCACATTTTAAGAGTGCATCTAAAAGTGTCTTTGCCTAAAATAAGGTCACAAGTATGTTTTCCCTTGCAATTTGAATCAGAGGTTATCTCAGTTAAGTACAAGGCCTGCACCAAGATTCATGCGTTGCATTTCGGTGTTCGGTTGTGACCACTGCCTGTGGAAAGGACTGGACCCCCTCGTCATCAAGTCACTTTGACACATGCCTATGTACTTTTGTGTGTGACATGTGTGTCTATGACATGTTTGGCACAGCGCTTGTGTTGAAGTCAGAGGACAACTTGCAAGGGTTGGTCCTCTCTTCCACCTTCTGGGGGCTGGGGATTGAACTCAGATTGCTCCCCCTTGGAGGCAAGTGCCTTTGCCCGCTGAGCCATCTCAGGGTCCTAAATGCACGTGTTCATTAGTAATCAGTGTATGTCTAGGTCTCCTGATGTTTACAACAGCAAACTGTAGTGTAGAGCACAGGAAATGGTCTTGAGAAAACCTAAGAGTTCGTGGTTCTGTACATGCTATTATTTTTGAAACCGGTATTTTATTACTAGAATGTGTGTGTCTATATATACATAGATAATTAATAAAACAGCATATATATGGATATATATATATCCTGCAAAATCTTTCTAAGCTGTTTTATTAATTCTTGTGAGAAAGCATTTGGCTAAAGGTCTATGAACCTCAGTTCTCAGGGCGTAAGAGCTCTGGGTAGAATAGCCAAAGGAAGAGTCACACCCTGGGTGGATCAAAGGAAGCGAGGGGTAGGTTGACAGCCAGAGGTGGCTGGCTGAAGAGCCGCAAGGGCAGGCAATTGCTTTTTCTTCACTGTGAGTTCCACACAATCCAGACTTCCTGCCTTGCGAACAGCAGAAAGCAGCCGATCTCCCACCAGCGAAGACTGACGGTGCTTTTTAGACTTTGAGATTAATGAACAGTTAATTAGAAGCTTGCCTACTCAGAGGGTAAGTCTTGATTAATGCCAAGCGAACAGTAAGGACTGAAAATGCTTTTTTTTCTCCCCCCTTGTGCGCTGTATTCACAAAGAAAATTTTTTTATTCTTTTTTGATTTTTGAAATTACGTGTTTGTGTGTTTGTTTGTTTGATGTGTGGCAGGGGCACCACAGTGTGCAGGAGGACACCTTTCAGGAGTCGCTTCTCTCCTGCCACTACAGGGGTCTTGGGAATTGAACTCTGGTCCTCAGGTTTGGCAGCAGGCACCTTTCCCTGCGAATCTGTCTGTCTTGCCCACCCCTCTGCTTTATTTTTTAGATCTTTGTACAGTTCTCATGTTTGTTTGAAATGCGGAGGCCCTGCAGAAAGGTGGATTGAGTCATGGTGGGAGGGAGGGAGCTCCCTCTGGGGAGACTGAGGCAGGCAACAGAGCTAGAGTCACCCACGAAAGGGTATTCACCTCAGGGATCTTACTCATCCTACTCAACCATGTAGACAAGCAGTTCATGTCTCAGACCCCAATTTTCCGTAGAATTGTTGAGCAGCATAGCTTAAAAATCCAGATGCTGCTGAGGTTAGACTGCCCAGAAGGAATTGGGGTGGATGTCTAGCTGTCTACCTCCCAGGTTTAGTCCCCAGAAACCAGGCAGATTCGCTGCCTCTGCTGCTAAGTGAGCCTCCCGGATGTCGGCAGCATCCTTTCTGTGTGGCTGCAGGAATGCTGGCAGAACCGGCTGTGTCCGGCAGGCTCCATGGAGATGACTCCTGCCTGCTGCAGGCTGGAAGCGTTGGTCAGTTTCCAGCATTTCAGCAGCCACAGTTACAACTCTGTTTTCCTGCTCGCGGCTGCTCCTTGACTAGCCTTTTCCCCCACGTGTCACGAAAAGTTCAGGGCAAACCTGATTGTCTGAGTTGGTTGGAACTTAACTCTATGGAACACTTTAAAGACACGAAAGATCTCAAAATAGCCGGCCAAGTTTGTGTTTTGAGGCAAATATCAGCAAGCGAAGCTCTGGGGAGGTGAGGCCCTGTCTGCGCTGGTGGGCGACAGTATTCCCTCCAGCTGGCTGTGGGCAGAGGCCCAGACGCTCAAACGTGACCTTTGAGTTCCTAAATTAATGTGAATAGCAGCTCATTTGCATAATGTATATTGTTAATAGATGCTAACTAATTATAGTATATGACAAAAGAGAGCCTGAGCTGTGTTCACAGTCGTTTGGTGATGGAACTGGTTATGACTACCCAGTGCCGCTTTCCCCTGTTTGCTTAGAAGGATGAGCAGTGACGAGGCGTCTCAAAGAGCAAGGACCAGCGAGAGGGGAAGACACAGGGGAGAGGATGGGAAGGTCGAGTGCAGTGTCGCACATGCCGATTGAT